TGCTACGCAATCTTATATGGTTTGCTTTGCAAATCAAGCTCGCTTCGCTCGCTACTAACTTATGTACATTGCAAATGCACGAAATTCTAAGAATTCAAAACAATCATTCAAATCCATATAACTACTTTTTTTAAAAAAAAATTACATCTTTTTAGTAAGTACTAAGTCATTAAAATAAATTTGAATTCAAATAAATGACAATTTCTGGATCAAATGAATTTATGATATAAATCAAAAATCGTCAAATAAATTCGTAATATATATAATTTCGAGAAAAAAAGCGCTTTCGACAAAATACTATAAAATAGAGATCTATCGACAAAGACTACTCACTTCTGCCTAGCTTAATAGTATGAGATTGCCGCAGCTGAATTGCTCGCTCTGGTTATTTCAGTTTCCGTTTTTAAAAGCGCTATATATTGAGCTACCTCAACTAGATTTGGCATTGTAATAAATAGAAATTTATTATAGTTTTTTTTCTCCAATACTTTTAAAGATAGATTATTTTTCTGTAGATGGCACCACTACGGTAAAGTTTAAATTCAATCATAATAATCATATTTTTTTTAAGTAATTTTGAATTAGTCGTTTAAAATGGGATTTTTGGGGTGAAATCTGGGTAACTAAATTCATTAATATTTATTGAGGATAGTAGTATAATTTCTATGGGGTATTCATTTGTATTTATGACGGTTTTTCTCAGGGATCTTTTTTTTTTTGGTTTTGACGTTCGCCGGATGCGGGAAGACTCTGGACGTGGTAAACAGGTCAGTCTAGTTTCTTTCGCCTTATTGAAGGGAGGATAAAAGAGAAGCGATGAATGTGGCTAAGCGCAGTAGTAATCAGCAGTAAGCAGTTAACCAGAGCAGTATCCTGGGGATACGGAGTTTGTCCGCTGAAGAGTGGTTCGTGACAGTACCTCGGAGATGGTGGATCGTAACCTTAGAGAAAGCTAAACTGCAATCTCTAGCGGGAAGGACTACCGAGATTAGCCGAAAGCCGATATCCTCGAGACGATGGGCCAAGTCCGAAGGAATCTATGCTGGACGTCCGGTGTTCCCCTTCTACATGCCTAAGCCGATTGAAGTTAGAATAGCTGGAGAAATTTCGAGATCCTAGCCGAGGAGTTTGTCCATGAGTTCATCTACCATTCCGGTGGGCGGTTCCAGAGAGCAAACAGTAAATTCTTTAGGGTACTTATAAAACTTTAAATTTTATTTCGTTAACATTTTAGAGGAATCATTTACCGAAAATTCTGAACTGTTATGTTGTGTTTTTTTTTTGTAGGAGAACAATCAGCATTTAAGTGTAATTTATAGATATCATAAACCAAGTCTGGGTTTTTAGAAATGTTAAATGAAGTTTTTATTTTATAAATGTCTTTTTTTTGAACTGTAGAAGTTGAAGGTTATGCTTGAGTGTTTTAAGGTTGCATTTTTGTTTTAATTAATGTATAAATGTTTATTCCCATGTTGGCATTTGGAAATGTGTGAAATTATGTTTTTGAAGATTTAGAGGTGCAATAAAAATGAGTTTTAAATGTTGAAAGTTTTCTGTAATTCATTAGATATTTGTCTACTAAATAACCTGGGTAACCGTTACTAAATTTAAATTTTGAGATCATAGCCAAAGGGGTAACGGTAAAATTGGTGCCGTGACCAGGATAGGCAAATTTAATAGAAAGGGCACAAATTGGAGCCGCAATCTTTTGCATTTCCAAATGCTGACATTTGACTTTTTATGTGTTTTAAGTTGTATCATATTTGAGTGTATTTATGTATTCCCAGTTTTGAGATAGACGTAAACAAGTTCGGATATATTCAATTAATAGTGTATTTGTGATATTTGAGTTATAATCGAATATGTGTCCTAACGATAAACCTTCACCACAGGAGGGTCAAACAGGTGTGTTTATGCCAGGCAATTTTTCCCTTTTAACGTTGCAAGTACTCCGGCACTGTTAACATATGGTAGGGAATTAACTTTATCGCTGGAATTTCTTAGGAACCATGAACCTTTCTCTTATGCGAGTGCTGAGGACTTTGCCACAGATTTACTTGTTAAATTGCATAGTACTTATGCATCAGCGAGGGAAAATCTAGAAAATTCTGCGGAAAGTAGAAAAGCTCGTAGAGACAAAAACATCAAACAATATAGTTTCCAAGTAGGGGATGAGGTATACTGGTTCAATCCTGTTTTAAAGAAAAACCAGTGCAAGAAATGTTCTAAATTTAATGAGGGCCCTTTCAGGGTGATTGAAGTCATATCTCCGGTCACTTTGAAAATCCAACATACAAAAAATTTTGGCTATACTAGGGTTGTTCATGTGGAGAATATGGCAAAGGCGGAGCAAAGATTGGAAATTTTGCGATTCAGAGATAGTGGGTTCGGTGACCAAATCAGTGGCAGTGTAGATAGGGAAAGAGTAGAGACGCCTGCTCTAGGAAATCTATTGTATGAGACAGGTAAATTCGTGCCTTTCCCGCAACCTCGTTATAACTTAAGACAACGGGTAAATGAACGGGTCGTAAGAAATTAGAATTTGTAAGAGGGGGGTGTAACTAAATTTTTCTTGTTTTAAATTGGGTTGTAAATGTTTTGGGGTGGAGTGTCAAATGTTCTCCAAATATGGAGGAGGAGTTTATGTCTGGCGGTGTATATATTTGGTTACATAAGCCGGAATGTAGTAGGTCGGTGGAGACTGTTTTTATTTTTCAGGTGGACCACTGTCCTTTTATGTACATAAGTGTGAAGTGGAGGTCTCCACTGGCAATTGTAATGATATATGTAATCTATCAAAACTGGGTTTGTCCCACTTTTGTTTTTTTTAATGTTATTGTGAAAATGTTTAGATGTTTAAAATTTGGTAAAAGGTGAAGATTGATAAGGTTGCTGTATAATATTTTCCTGACCCCCTGTGGGCCGCTTCAAAATGTATTGCTAAGTGTAAAACTGAGTTATAATGTTTTTTAAAGTTAAGTGTAGTTTAAACTTCTTTGGCGCATATTTGATTCCTCTTTTCTGTTTCCTTGCAAGATGCATATTGTTAGGGTCAGATTTGATTTTAGTGATAAAGATCTAAGAGTAGGTTTAAAGCCGCGTGGTGCTTTTAGAGATTTTGAACTTTAAGTAGGAATGCCAAAGGTTTGAGATCATAGCAAAAGGGGTAACGGTACAGCATGTGACATTTTTAGCGGCAGTCATTGGTCGATTTTTTAGCGTTGCCATTCTTTTTTTTTGTCGACGTGTAAGAGAAATATATATATGGATTTGTCACGTTAAAATAAGAAATAATTTAGTGAACAGAGTGCTTTCCATTCCTTGAGGCAGGAATGAAACCAAAGTTTGACATAATAGTTTATCCTAAAATATCTCATATAACAAAACAAGTATATATGCTCACATAATACAACTTTTATTAATTTGATAAAATTTTAAAACCAACAATGCAATTCAAGTTTACAAAATTAGGAGGTTTACAAAATTATAGTTGATAGTACTTATGTTCTATTATACAGTAAATATAACTTTCCATGCATAATCCAATTATACATCTTTATTTTTTTGACAATATTTTAAGATTAGGAATTTATTGAGTTCTACTAAACTGGAAAGAACTAACTGGAATTTATTAATTAAATCAATTAATAAATTATTGATTGTTAATCCAGAAACTTAAACCTTTTAGTGGATAGAAACTTTAGTAAAACTGTCCGAAAAGTTTTATTTTGAAAATAAAATTCAATAATTCTGTTTTAAACAAATTTAATACTTTTGGAAATAAAAAGTATTCACTAACTTTCGTTTTCAAAAAGGAATTACATTATTCTGTAGCAATATTGTACCTAATAATTCGAATATAATAGCTAAAGAGAGAAGTGGTAGGACGAACTGAGTAATATTTGAATGAATTACAATAACAAGAGTATACTTAAGTAACATCTTTTCCTATTGAAATTACCTATTATTCTCTTTTCAATGGTATTTCATTTTACGAAATGTATATTGCAGAAAGATCTATCCTTTCTTGCATAAAAAAATTCCAACTGCTTTATTGAAATAGGAACTCATTGTAGATCTTGATGGGAGTTGAGAGATCCTAAATGTGAAATCCGTAAATTTTAATTACTGAAATCTTCTAGTAATAACGGGAAGAACTTTTTTTTCACATTTTATTGGAATTTTATATTTTGAATCACTCATCTGTTCTTGTAACATTAAAACATATGGAAGAATTTAAAATGTTCTTTAGGGTCATCAAAGCCTTTTTGCATCACTAAGTTGTTCTTAGAAGATCAAAATATATGGAAGAATATGAAATGTTTTTTAGGGTCATCAAAGTCTTTTTGCATCACCCATTTGTTTTCAGAAGATCAAAATATATGGAAGAATTTGAAATGTTCTTTAGGGTCATCAAAGTCTTTTTGTATCACTCACTTGTTCTTAGAAGATCAAAAAAATTTAGAAGAATATGAAATGTTCTTTAGGGTCATCAAAGTCTCTTTGCATCACTAACTTGTTCTTAGAAGATCAAAATATATGGAAGAATTTGAAATGTTCTTTAGGGTCATCAAAGTCTCTCTGCATCATTCATTTATTTTCAGAAGATCAAAATATGTGGAAGAATTTGAAATGTTCTTTAGGGTCATTGAAGTCCTTTTGCATCACTCACTTGTTCTTAGAAGATCAAAAAATTTAGAAGAATATGAAATGTTCTTTAGGGTCGTCAAATTCTCTTTGCATCACTCATTTGTTTTCAGATGATCAAAATATATGGAAGAATTTGAAATGTTCTTTAGGGTCNCTAAATATAACATATAGGTTTCTAAATCTTACAATAATGTGTTTTAAAAATATATATGAGCTTCTCTGTACAAATTTTCAAATAACAACTTCTTATAAACATAATTATACTTTCTTTTACATATGAAACTATTTGTAAAAGGAAAAGCTCTGCATGCATAATGCTCATTTTTATAAAGTCTCATTCTTTTCTATTATTAACGTAATAAATAAATAAGAAATTTACATTCAACATAAAACTTTTCATGGTAAACTTATTAGTGCTCTCTAGCGCTTTGTAGGGGTTTCTAAATATGTAGTATATGCTCAAAAATTCTATTAGAAACAGAATTAATTAATTAGAAACATATATTTTATAAAAAAAAGTTTTTTTGTTAACCCATCAGCGCACACTGTTCCTTTTAAGAGACGTATGCAAATATGCATATGCTCAAGAATTCTATTATGAACAGAATAAATTAATTGGAAACATAAATTCCATAAAAAAAACTTTTCATGATTAACTCATTAGAACAATCTGTCTCTTTTTAGGGACAGTTCTAAATATACATATGCCCAAGAATACTGTTGTTAAGAAAGTTAGGAACAAGTTATAAAAACGTTCTTGCAAAATAAACTGTTCATAATGTAAAAAAAAATTATTTTTGTGCAAACAAAGAATAGAAATACTAAACATTCATTCATCATAACATTTCAAGTTTTTTTTAAAATGATGCATATTTTTAAATTGAACATACATTTAGTTTAAATGCAATTCTATTAAAAAATTAAGCTTTAAATGTTTTCAAGCAAAATAAAAAATACATCAAATAACTGTATAAATATAAACAAAAGTAAAATTTTTATTTATGTTGTATTATGCTATTTTTTGTGTGGATTGCTATAATCCTAATATTTCATGAATATATTTTAGCAACATAATAGATAAAATGAAAATATACTTTTAATGTGAAGATAAAAAATAAAAAATAAACTATTTTTTTAAATATTGGGTTATTCTATTTATAAAAAAGAAACAACCATATGTATTGAAAAGTATGACAACAATGCAATAAATTGTTGACGTTTTGTAATTTTTTTAAGAAATATTGTCTTAAAAATAAATATTTAATAATATTTTAAAAATTTTTTATAAAGATTTCAAAATATTTTTTTAATGTATTCTTGAAAATATATCGTTTCAAGTAAAAATTATTTCATACTCAAATTTCTGCATTGAAAAAAAATTAAAGGTTTATTTTTCATTGTTCAACGTAAAGTAAAACATGTTCTACGTAATGCATTACAAACAATGCAATAGAGGACCAAAAAATTTATATTTAAATAATAAAAATGAACCAAAAATAATTAAATAAAAATTAACCAAAAAAACTTATAATAACGGGATAAGCAAGCATTATTTACATTTCATTGTCATTTGCTATTTACAGTTAAAAGAAGTTTTCTATATTAAAATTTTATTTTTATAAAATTTTGTTCTTATAAAATTCAATTTCTATAAATAATCTGAAATTATTTTGTTTTGTTAAACGTATATAAATTATTATACCGCAAAATCTTACGCACATTTATTTCCCTTGAGTGGATATCAAGTCTTTATTTATTGTCCTGGAAGCTCTGATTAACTCAAAAATAGTCATTTCTCACAAATATGAATGCATTCATATCAGAAAATTATATATTAGTGATGTAAGAAGCACTATTATGAAAAGAATAACCATGCTGTTTAAATTAATTTGGTATATATTTATGTTAACGTCCACATAAGTTTTTAGGAAATAAAAAGTTCAATACTTTTGGAATCGAATTGGAAATTTTATATTGAAATAATTGTAACAAGTAAATGCCAAAGAGGGAGTAAAAGTCCTGTTTTTTAAAATTAAACTTAATGATTCATACAACCAGTTTTTTTTAAAAAATCGGATTAAAGAATTCTCAAATAATAATTTAGCTAAACTGTCTTTCTAAAAGTATTAATTTTCTGTTATCGGTTATTATATCTGAAACTAGGCTTCCTTTAAAGAAGAAAAGGATTTAGTAGTGATTTTGAAAGCAAATATGCGCGACTAAGTTTTCAAAGTTACCTTGAATTATTTTCTTGGTAATTTTAACTGACTTATTTTCAACCATTGCAGAAATAAAATTTTCAACTTTCTGTGGTTCCAAAGTGGAGTACTCGTTTAAATAAGTGCATACTTCCTTTACAAGTTTAGAATCATTTCCCCTCATAATAGCCTTGTAAATCTTCGAATGAATGTCAAAAAGATCTCCACCATTTCCTGCCATTTCCATGATCTTTTGCAAATTATCCGTGATATTTAAAGCTCGAGCTCGTGCATCTAACAACGATTCGGAACCAATCAATGCAGAATTGTATTTTTCGTTTGTCACTTTCCGTACAAAGAGATCCAGTAAGAGCAAGGCGCCATTTACATCCATTTGTGTTAGAGGTTTAATGTTTTTCAATTCCAAATTTTCTTTCATTTTATTCGAATTTAACAAAGGTCTTAAATTACTGTTTTCAAGCATGCCCGTAAGAGTGAATTCAGGAGCAGGGTTTTTAGAATTCGATTCAATCGAGCGGCGGAAATTGCCACAGCGATTCTTCTTTTTCAGTAGATTTAACATCTCTCCCTTTGCTAATTGACACGCCTTAGCATCATTTTCTTTAGCAGACTTTCCATTTTTCAATATTTGATTTTTTTCAAATGTCAGCAAATCATCAATAACTTCTTTTCTATTATGCATAACTGCGAGATCAAGAGGTGTATTTTGTTTCTTCGTTTTTTCATAAACTTTTGCCCCCTTAGCCAGCAACTCTTTGACAATTTCTTTCAAGCCAGCAGCAGCAGCTAAGTGCAGAGGTGTCTGATTATCAACATCTTTGGCATCAACATTAACCTTTGATACCACATTTTCATGAAAGTTTAACAGATACTGTACCCAAGCAGTTTGCTTAAAAAATACGGCAAAATGCAAAGGAGTCCAATGTTTCTCGCCTGCTGCATCATTAAGCTTAGATGCTTTTTCATCAAACATTATAGAAGATATTAATTGTTCCACTTTGTTTCCTTTCATAGCATCGTAATGAACAGCTAACATTTGTTGGTTATCCTTTGCATAGATATCAAATCTTTTGTCTTTAGTAGATAAATCAGTTACCTCTTCCCATCTATCGAGTATGGTTGCATAATGTACGACTGCTAATCCATTGTTATCCTTTGCATTCAAATTTGTTTTCCCATTTTCTATTAGTGTAAGGAAAAGATCTTTATTGTAATTTTCATCAGTTATAGCATAGTGCAAAGGAGTGAGACCGGCTATGTCTTTTAAATTTGGGTCAATTTTCGAGTTTCTCAACAGGTCTTCTACAATTTCTTCGGCATGGTAACGCACGGCCAGATGCAGTGGAGTCACTTTATATTCCTGTCCTTGTAAATTAACATTTGCTCCACGGTTAATTAGCCATCGCGCAAAAGCGGTTCTTTTATTTTCCGCAGCTAGGTGAAGAGGGGTGAAGCCAAATTTATCTGGTTTATTAATGAGAGAACGGTCTTTCTGTAATATCTTACCTAGCATAACAGATCGTCCAGCTATAGCTGCCGCATGAATAACGGTTCGTTTACCCTCAAACTCTGCCTTAACATTCGCTCCCAATCTAATGAGTCTATCCATGTTACTTGAAACCTGAGACTCGCTGAGTGAGTTTTTAAAAGCTAAATTATACAAATCCCTGTGGACGTCTCTAAATTTTACTTCTGAGCCAGGGAGGATATATGCCAATTCTGCATCACCATTATCAAATTTTCGGAAAACTAATCTATTCATATTGCTCGATTTCCTGAATACAATTTCTGGATTGGCTATATCCACTATTTCCTGTGGTGAAGTCCAATCACTAACTTTAGAATACTTACCATCTTTTTCGAATTGCATCGCGTAACTCACCTTTGTGCCTCTTTTCCAGTCTAAAAAGTTAGAACTACTGCGTTGATACCCAGTTTTAGAGTTGAAATCAATATCAATGTTTTTATCAAGAGTGGTTTCGAGTACTGGTAATGAAAGTGCTGCAATCTTTTGTTTTAGTTGACTAAGTTGGGTGATGTATGTTCCAATATTTTCGAACAATTCTTCGCCAAGATCTTGCTTGCTTTTGCTTCTTTTTGCGTCGTTTAACATCTGAGTAACTTGGTCGATTATACCTGGCTTTCTCGAGGAACCATTAACTATTAATTTGAAATGATTGAAATCAAAAATAAGACGATTGAAATAGTCGTTGAACTTTTCCAAATCACCCTTTTGGTAAACATATTCCGACATGTAACGTAGTTGCTGAGTGAGAGTAATAACAGTTGATGCGTAGGTTGTAACTCCAATGTTGAGTCCGGGAAGGGCAATGTTTGGTTTGATGGTATTCTTCTTGTTAATCACTGCAAAAATGGCCTTATGCAGACTACCTTGAAGTCCGATGTAATTGTAAAGAGATGAATCTGAATTTGTTGCTACTTCTTGCTGGATGATATAAACATAACGCTCAGGAGTCGCTAACCTTTTGTTCTCTTCCCCAAATGAAATGGATTCGATCGCAGTTTTTATTTCGGAAACTGGATTGCTGGCATCTACATCCCCGATTTTATTCAATACCCTCTGAAAGCTATCGCCCATTTCCTTTCTAACATCTTCTATTTTGTCGAGAGTTTGTCCCACTTTTTTATTCACTTCCTTCAAAATTTCAGTTTGTTCTGCAATTTTTCTATCTGTTTCTTCTTGTCTAGCTTTCATTTTTGCGTCTAACTCTTTAAAAGGGAGATCAGCACATTCTCTCTCAATGTTCTCGTCTGTTACTAAAGCCTTGGCAATCAGTACATTAACTAATAGAGCGGAGGAGACCACGATTAGCAGTGGCATGCTAAACAAGGCAAAGACTCCTAATGCAACGCCTGCTAAACCAACTGCCGTGTCCAGATAATTCTTACCTTTTTCAATTTTTTTGCAATTCTTCCCTTGCTCTTCTAGGCTCATCTCCCTCGTCATACGCATCAACGCTTTACCCGTCTCCGAATAATTTTCATCAGAACCCAAAGTCATGGTTGATAATTATGAAAAACTGTATCCTTACTTGAGTGTTTAGATACCAATAGATACTTACCTTATGCAGGAAAGAAATAGAGGATTTATAAGTATGTGACTGAATTTTATTTTAGTCCATATATTTATACTTAACTACTCTACTGTTTAAATTCCTGAAGAAACACCTGTGGTTTGATATGTTATACATATGAATTGGAATAATAAGAATAAGACACCAGCTGGTCTTGACATTTAGTTTTAAAATGACAGGGAACAGATCTATGATTTTATTTAACATTCTGGTAACTGTGCATTCCATTCATCTTAGTTTTGCACGACATATTATCAAATTTTATTAAACTAGGCAATACTTCCTCTTCGGAAAAATAATTTCAAATAGACCTAATAAGGAAAAAATAATATTTTTGACAAAAACATTTTTTGTTTTAGATCAGATCAAAAAAAAAAATTTTCTCCATTTATTATTTCTATTATTTATTTTTTTTTTTGAAAAATGTAATTTTTAAAATTTTATTCTTTTTATATATTTTTTTTCCGGTTCATTACATCTGCTAGATTTTTTCTGAAAGTAAACAAAATTTCTGTTTGCGATAAATTTTGTTTGTATCCGGTAGAAAACAATTTAAATTTAACTTATAATTTAAGATAACTCACTTATTCGGTTTTAAACATTCCGAATAGTCTAAATGTGGTAGAAATAGAAATATGGATTGATAAGAATTTTTTTTTGGATATAAATATGTATATAACTCTTTCTGCAAAGAGCGCCAGTTCAGTTTTAAATATTCCAATAGTCGGGAAATGCTAGAAATGTACTGAATTATGGTTATACCACAGGAACTAAAAAAAATACGACATTCAACTTGCAACTAAATGAGCGCAATTGGGTACTTGCACTTCAAGAAGAAGATCTCCCATTCCCACACATGTGATCTATGACGTCAGCGCTAACTAATCTTTATCGGCAAAATGGAGTATTAAAGTTGAGCTAAGTTGCTCTAATGTTATTAATGATAATTAAAAATTAATAAAGAATGTTAATTAATGATAAGTTAGAGACGTATCGCACTTAGTTGAAATATATAATTCTTTCTCGTCTACATCTTTTACCTAACTTAGATTTATTACTTGTTTATGTCTTTCATTGTAACCGTGATGTATTTTAATTTTGTGTACCTGGAAGCTTCGATGCATAATTAGTTTGTTTATGTTACACATGGTTTCGTGCCTGTCTTTGTGTCAAGTCTCTTTGAAAATATATAGTGAGGCAGAATTTAAATCTTTTGGAAAGAATTTAGAATGTGCCCCATTGGAGAATTGATACATAACGGGCTTGGTTTGCTCGAAATAGAGTGGAAAGAACAGTTGTTAACGTAAGCGAATGCCACGCTTCAACAAACAATCAGATTCGAGATACCCATACTACGGCACTTACAGGTCCCATTAAAAACAAAATACGAACCCCAATTTTTGATTTTTAAATTCAGATCTCATTGAAAATAGAATTTTCTCATTGATTCAACAAAAGCCATTGTTACCAATTGTAAGATAGACAATTTAGTTTTGTGAACTATTTTAAAGCTAACATCATTGATGTTTACGAGCTTATAATCAAAAATTTTTTTTATTGCGTGTTCTGTAATGCTAAATTAGTTTTTGACTGAATTATTCGATTATTTTTTGACTGACTTATTGTTATTATAATTTCATGATTTATCAACGCAATCGTGCTAGTTTAGACGGACTACCAATATCAACCATCAAATTAGTATATCTAAAGTTATCTGATATCACGTGCTTATAGCTCATTTTCAAGCATTCATGCTAAAACAACAATTTTTTCTTCCCACTGTTAGTGTGATACCTGCAAATGACGTAGTCTGGGTATCTCGATCCTGATTGGTTGTTGAAACGTGACATTTGTTTACATTAGTGCATTTTGTTTACATTCTTTAAATTATATTTCTAGTAAGCAAAGACCGTCGCTTAAGGGACACATTCTATACTCTTTCACAAAGATTTCATTTCATTCAAAAAACATAAATGTATCATAGTTAAAATAAAAAACATAAAGAAATAATAAATCTAAATGAAGAAAAATACGTAGGAGAGAGGGAATTATATTTCAATAAATTCGTTGAGCGATACGGAGTTGTATAAGTGGAGAAACTTATCTCAACTTATTACATCTGCTATCTACTCAACTTACACGACATCTTGATTATAAGCGATCAGCTGAGTGCCGTAATGGCTCAGGGGATAAAGCATTTGCCCTCCAATGAGGTGAACTGAGTTCATATCCCTCGATACGAATTCCGCCCCCGACTCGCACCAACCACAGTGCTGACGAAGAAATATCTGCAGTGGTAAACGAATCATGGGTTAAAATCCCCTTGCTATCAGGCTAATCGCTCGAGTTTTTCATGGTTTTCCTCTCCATGTAAAGAAAATGCGTGTTAGTTTCATCAAAAAGCCCCCCACGAAGGTAAATTTCTCCCAATACTTGATCCATGAGTTCCCATGTCTTCTAGATTGGGTTCAAAATTTCAAGGCAATGGAGTTGAACGTTATCGTGAGGTCAGTCGGCTTTTCAACGACGGCTATAAAAGGATCAGCTGGTGCTGAGGTCATAGGTCATTTGTCTGTATATCCGTGGTCGTCTTCTTCTCGAGCTGGAAGTACCTAAATTTGGATCAGGTGTTCTTTGCGAAATTAATAGAAAAAAATAAGAGTTGACAGCAATGCTTTCACTTGTTTTTACCGAGAAAAGAGTCTCAAAATTGGAATATATATATATATA